GCACTTGTTACTAGAAGCGATGCCCTTGTTACTAGTAGCTTATTGTTTCCTAGCCTAGTATGTGTGGTTAAACATCAGCTTCGATGTTTCGTGATGTTTCGTCGTAGGTGTGTCTCGAAAGAACCTGCTCGGACTCGACCAAGCCGAACCAGCGGCTGCGGCTTTCAATCTCCGCCAGAAATGCGAACCTCTTGGGGGTCACAGAGGGTGAGTGAGGTGTTTGACCAACGAGAACTGACTGCTGTTTTCACGAAAACGGCCGATCTCTTGTTTGACCGGATTCCATCAACGGTAGTCGAACCTTTGGCCGATCAAATGGAGGACCTGTGATGAAGCCCATGTTTGGTCCAGCGGATACTAACTTGGTTTTTTCAAGGGTTGCCAGTCCTTTCGTCCAGAGAAAGGGTGGACATCCCCATTTCACGCTCAAAAGTCGGAAGTGTTTTCAAAAGTGTGTGTCTCTTCTACCGTTGACAGTTCTGAAGAACCGCCGCATGAGATCACTCGAGTTGCAACTGTTTGTGCTCGCCCAAACAACTTCTGCGGTGCGGTGCTTGGACCAAACGCCCGAAAGCTCCCAGAGAAACGCCCGAGAGTGCTGCGGGAAGCGATGAAGGTGAGTCCTTCGCTGTGAAAGTCTTGGAGGATTCCAAGGAGCTGCACCAAGAGTTGGAACTGCTTCAGTTTGGAGCGCCCAGGGAGTGGGAAAGTGTTGAACTTCCGGGGAAACGTGGGGACGTCGGCCTTTGTTTGAAGTGATCTATTACCGCACTTGTTTTGCAGTACTGCGGTACAGAAAGAACTCATTATGTGTCACTGGTGATTACCCATGTAACACGGTGGCTTGACATGCTCCCTTGGCTGTGCAGTACTCAGGTCCATTTCACACGAGCACATCGTGACAGACTTAGATTTCAGATCAACTCCACAGAAGATGGTTGAGGAGCAATCTCACATTGGTAACCTTTAGCCGTCTTTAGCCTTTTAGTCCATAAAACCTACTAGCAATGGCCTCCAACCGGGAAACCGTTTCATTTTGCTTGAGTTTTTCGTCCGTTTCGTTGCTCGACTCGCCGAGGTCAGTTACTTGGGACACGAGGTCCATGATCGGCAGCTCTACATCTTCCTGGAGTACATGCCAGAAGGTGCTCCAAGTTGGTAGAATCGAATGAGATGTGTTTTTTTTCTGGCTAAAGATACACAGCCACAGACATTCCCGAGAGTCAGCCAGATTGAGTCAACTGTTCTTTTGATGTGTCCAGGATCATTGGGAGGCAACAACATATTTCCTAAATTGTGTGCATGATGACTGACTTGCAACTTATCATCATCCAGGAACTCTGAAAGACAAGATTGACGAGTTCGGTGCTTTTCAAGAGGAGATGAGTCATATCCATATTGTCCCCATTTCACTCTTGTGATCGACATGGTGTTTTTTTCACTCCGGTGTTTTGAGTCGCTCCAGCTTCTCTCAAAGAATGGTATATGTAAACCAAAATTTACTTGTAGAGGCTGAGCAAAAGTTATCAATGCCAAAGGGGCAACCATTTGCTGTGGTTTGCCGCCTTTGTAAGTGTTTGCTCCATTTCTAAGCTGGTTGAAAGCTTGCTTGTGGACTATGTGAGCTTGCTTTGTTTAGCTAAGCATCTCAGCCTCAGCTCGATTTTCTTTTCTTTGCCCTGGTGAGAGGAGCTTTGTGCAGCCTTGTGCGAGCAAGTGCTACGTGGTTTGGCCTATCTCCATGACCAACAGGTTCATTGTTGCAGTGCGACATCTGTCTTTTGGAAGCTTGTTGTCTCATTTGGTAGCTCTATCTCTCCCATTTAAGAGCACCCCTCCGCATGAACTTGAGTATGTTCGATGTCAGCGTTGCTGAAACAACCAAGGAGGAAGTTGTTTATTGAAATGAACACCATTCTAGTAACAAGGTGCATCGCTACTAGTAGCAAGGACGCTACGAACGTAACGATGCCCAGCCGCAGGTGATGCACCGCGACTTGAAGTGCAGCAACTTGTTGCTGGACGTCTCCGGGCGAGTCACTCGATTGCAACGGAGCCGATGCGCAAGTCCTCGTTTTCGTTGCTTCGTTTCGTGTTGAAACAAAAAATTACGTGTTGTGTGAACATCTCCAAACTGCAGATAGAGCCATGCAACGAGATCCCCTGAGCATGTGAGAAGTTTGGCTGTTTGGTTCTCACCTAGAACCAACGTCAACTTCCGAAGAGGAGGACTTTCGCGCAGTGTCATTGGTTCATTGGCTGAATGATGCCTCGAAGATCCAAAAACTCCAAGAGTCCAAGAATGTCCCCAACAGCTGGACATGAACAAGGACGCTACTAGGAGCAAAGTGCATCGCTACTAGGAACAAGTGCCTTACTAGTAGTAACAAGAAGCTAGTAGAAACAATATATAAATTAGAATCAACTTAAAATTAGGCAATGACAAGATCGCAATTTCACCAACGAGTGAACAAGACTTTAAGGAACCCAATAGCAAAGGCCATCGCTCTTGGGTTGGAGGCCACTTGGATCGACGACAGCAGGTCAACATGATGGTATGTTAGCAAGTTAGAATGAGAACATCACAAGGTCATGACAACATGTTAGAATCGGAACTTCCTCCAAAACCTCCCTAGCTCCCGAAGCTCTCCGGAACCTCTCCTCCGCAACCTGCTCGCCTGCTCTGGAGCCTGCTCCGGGGTTTTCTCCAGGACCTGCCGCTGAAGTTTTTACCATGGCTGAAGACTCCTTATACTTAGCTTCGCTCTTGGGAAAAAGCAACCAAACAACAGCAGGCAACACGGCACCAGAGAGAGAGAGAGAGAAAGAAAGAAAGAAAGAAAGAAAGGAAAAGAGACAAATCAAAGAGCCACAAGATGCCATCGGATGAGTAGGACATCACAAGATGTTTTCTCCTCTGCAACAGGTCAGCGGTAGGGTCCAAAAGCCTCGAGCGTCCTTCTCCCGACCGCTCCACATGCGAGGTGAAGATCTCAGATTTTGGATGTGACTTGGAGCAAACGGTCCAGCGAATGGGAAAGGTTTGCTTGAACCGCGGGGGAACGTTATTGGAGAACGTTAGTTCAAGACCTTCCAAAAGAGTATTTCTCAAAAACGGAAACTCACTGTTTTGTGAAAGAAGAAATGGTGTAATTACATACGGTATCGAAAAAGGAAGCCGTCCTGGCGGGGGCATGCTTACAATACAAGAGAATGATCACAGAGAGGAAAAATGCGAGTGGGTTTGCTATGCCTGACTTCGTCGAGAGCAAACACACCCAGTCCACCTAATTAATGCAAACCCTCAAGTCTGGTCCATCAAATTCTTTCTAGTAACAAGTGCCTTACTAGTAGTAACAAGAAGCTACTAGGAACAAGTGCATCGCTTCTAGTAACAAGTGCCTTACTAGTAGTAACAAGAAGCTGCTAGGAACAAGTGCATCACTTCAAGTAACAAGTGCCTTACTAGTAGTAACAAGAAGCTACTAGGAACAAGTGCATCGCTACTAGCAACAAGTGCCTTACTAGTAGTAACAAAAAGCTATTACAGTAGAATTA